TCTTTCCCTCCATTTTCCCCAACAGTCTCTGTTTTCTCTTTATCACTCATTATCGCAGGTAAGTTTCACTCAATACTGCACTGCAGCATCACATGAGTCTGGATCTTTCCAGCCCACAATATCTGTTTTTTAGCCATGCAGCTCCTAACCAGTGAATATGAAATTTGAAAACCACAAATTTTAGGTTTTTGTAACCAGCTCCAATATCAGGATAACGATTTCTTTGTTAGATAGGGTAACATCAGCTGCCCTAACAAACAAAAACCAAGGTTTCAGTGATTAAAGACATAAAATGATTATGTCCTGCACACATAACAATCCAGTGGTCTGTTCCTCGTAGGCAGGGAATTTTCCATCTTGTGGCTCCATTATACCCACAGGTCACATGGTCCTCTGCTTGCAGGAGAAGGGGAGGAGGAGGGAGGACCACTGGGGCATTATTATGAGCCAGTTGTGGAATTGGGACACATGTCTTTCACTACGTCCTTCTGGCACACAGCAACTTCACGGGAGCTGGGAAATGTAATTCCTGGCTTGACAGACATTTCCTGGTGACAACTCCCAAATTCGTGGTGAATGTTGACAAATCCATAATAATCTGTATGGAAGTATAGTGCTTTACCATTTACAAAGCATTTTAATGTAAATAATGACGTGAAGTAGGCCTGAAAGATTTATTATCACTGTATCATAAAGGGAGAAATAGCTTCAGAGGAGTTAACTTGCTCAAGGTTGTATAGCTAGACTTCCGGTTTCAGGCCCAGTGTGTAAAAAGGGCTTGGAAGTTGTCGTTCCTATTGTTACAACAAGAAAAACGCTGAGAAAACTGCAAATCAACCCCTTTCCTTAATACTCGTCAGAGAATCATGAGATGGGGGTGAATACGGAGATTCTCAGCTGAGATCAACTTACCCGTAGCAGAAACCACCAGAGCTGTGGACCTGTAGGATCACTTACGTGGTAATCTTGACAAACTGCTGGAGGTTGAGTGTGAGCTACCAGGCATTCTTATGATGAAGAGTCAAGAAAAATCTCCTGGCTCTGCAGATATCGGAGAAAGGTAACCATTTTGAACTATGCCCAGAGCACCCTCCATAACAAAGGGCTACTTGCTAGAGTGAAAGACTTCACCAGAGCCTTATCCCACATGGGAGATGGGCATTTACCCAATTCCAGCCCCCTCAAGCCTTCCTGTCTCACCTCAGGGGTAAAAAAAAAAAATAGCTAAGAAACACCTGTAAAGGTGACAGCCTGGAGACACAGGCCCACTAAAAGACTGAGATTTAAAGCTACAGTTGTAGAATGCCACCCCCTCCCCATGCCTTGCCTCCACAGCACCAGAAATCAAATACAATGACTCTGAGTTACAGCTGCGAGAGCTGCAAGGCACAGACTGTTTAAGGAGTAGTTCCTAGGGAAGCCCAGGGACAATAGCGGAGGTAGCAGCAAGGACCCCTGGGGGAAGCTGGAGCCTCCAGCACCTATGGCTGCAGCAAACATTACACACAGCCCAGCTGCTCACAGGTTACCATACATTCTAACATGAAAGGCCGCCTACCGCAGTTCCTATTACCTGATGTACATTATGTCCGGATTTTAACCAAAAAATTGCAAGGCATGCTAAAAGATAATTTTTTTAAAAAAACCCACAACAATATGAAGAGCATCAGAGCATCCCTCCTCCTGGGGGGAGGGAAGGCTCAAGCCCAGCGGAAAAGTAGGGCATTTCCCTTGTTTGCATATTGTTTGCTGGGCTCCCAATCCATCCCCTTACTGGTGTTGCTGGGCTCACCTGATGGCCTTGTCAGATTGGCTCCCATTAGATGTGGGGGAAGAATTAGCCTGCCTGGGCTACCTTCTGTTGCTGGGTCAGGGGTCAAAACATACCAGGTCCAGGCCACTATCTTCTGGGATGTAAACACCCCGCCACAGTGCTGTTCTTCCCGTCCTGGGTTCCCAGACCAGTTTGTCGTCTTCTTACCACATTTGGAGTACCTCCTTTGGTTGCCTCTTGCGTTATTTTCAGGATTTATAGTTGTGCTTAGTGGGTAAGCCCAGGGAAAGATGAGTCTGCACCATCTTGTCAGGACTGCAAGGACAAGGAAATAGTATAGTTTCAATTACAGCTTTTATTCCTTCTTTACAATGCAACAGTGTTATTTTTTTTTTTTTACTACCACCTCTCCTTTTTGTTATTGTTGTTCCATATTTAAATTAGACACATATTTTACATTACACAAGATACTTTTATTTCAGTTCTGTCATATTATTGTATGTTCTATTTTTATTCATAAATCTTTACATAACATTAAATCACAATTCTTTTTCATGTCGATGTTTAAATAAACAGTGTATTCCTGTATTTTTAGGAACAGATTTCAGTGTACAGGGTGGGGATGGACCAGGGTAGCTTTCCTAGCTTCATGGCTTCTTCCTCTGCTGTTACTAGGGAGTTATAAAAAAACGACATCTGGCTCCTCTGACCCTTCCGTTTTCCAGTATTGCTGCCCCAGTTCCCACCAGCTCAATCTGAAGTTACTACTGGCAGTTGAACCATTGTCCTAGTAGAAGGGAGACTTTGTAAAGG